GGCTATTGTTGTAGAGGGATTGTAATATTGAAATAGACTTTACGCGCACACTGTTCTGGGAAAAGCAGAGCCAAAATATGTAGCGATCCACTGTAGTCGAAAACCGTGTTCAGATCGAGGAAGATGGAAATGCCAGGTCGCAAACAAGTGTATGTATGTGTTCTAGAATTTGACTACACAACCCCGACCAGGTCTAAAACTAGCCCGGTTCTCACGTTTGCACTCTTCACGTGCGACAGACAACCGACGGAGTCTGATACCAGCGAGAATTTTAGAGACGGTGTTGATTAAATTATTCTCCCTGTGATTTTCACAGGAGGAGGATCTGTCGTCCTTCTTGCAAATCGGTATGATGACTGATTGATACCATTCAGAGGACTGATGTCAACTGGCAGTATTTGCGCAGTTTAAGCGGGTAGGAGGTGGTCTTGTGTTGCGCACCATGAAATGTTCTGTCCATCGTTTAGGACGGCGTTCCTAAATATAAACCAAAGCCGTCAGACTGCTTAATTACCTCACTCATGCCTGCCTTCTTTGGACCTCTACACTTCCCTATCCACCACTTCTCGCGGTTATTACTCAGGCACTTGTTGACCTGGCGTCTAGGGGTTCGCGCGCTTTGTTGTATTTGGCACCTTAAGGAATGGCTTTCCGACCGTCCAGTAGGTTAATCGAGAAAGGGGGGATCCGTCGCTTTTGCTTTGATCGTTTTACAAGATCAGCTGTTGTTTTGATTGACACTTTGATCGCTTTCTTGATTACCTTCCAGTGTTCACTGAGTGCTTCGGTTGACGGTCGAGATGAGAGGCGATCTGATAGCTGCGCTGCGAATGCCGCTTGGCAACCATTGCTGATATCGTACCGTGAGCATCTGTTTTTGGTGACTTTTCTGCAGTTGTTTATCAGGCGTAGGTAGATATCTGGCTCGTAGCAAAACATGGTCCGTGTCAACGAGTGTTGACCAGTAAGGACAGCAGTCTTCAATGGATCCCCGCCAGCAGTGGCCGATGGCGTTGGGTCGATTTGAGTCAAGCGCTGGGAAGAGGCTGACGGTCCCCATGTAAGACGGTGTCATTTCTTGTGCGAGACGTTGGTGCTTGACAAAACAGTTCGTGGTCAGCGCAAAGTTGGAGTAGGCGTTCTCCATTAGCATACCGGTTGGCTGCGATTGCATGCGAACCACCAAGAAGCCTTTCTGATTCGTCCAGGGATCCTACTTGGACTGAAGTTTCCAGCGATTACCACGATACTTCTTGACCGAGCACCTGAGTCATTGAGAGAGGTCCATGTAGAACTCATCCTTCATTTTTGGCGAACTGCAATCAGTTGGGGTGTACTAGGATACGATGTTCAAGAATCAAAGCTTTTTCTGTGGCTGTTGATCCGTATTGAACCATCCAGACGTACCGCGGAAAGCCGCCTAGTAACCAGGATCCAGTCGAAAAGTGAACTCTCAGCCTTGACACAGCGCAATACCGACACTAGCAACATCGCGCGTTCCGGATATCGAATCGCCTGACACACGGAGAGTGAAGCGTGAAGACGAGGTCGAACATAGAGATCACAAGGCGATGACTGAAGCAGGGTATCGTTTGCGTGTTTGAGAGACACAGGATAGATCTAAATTGAAAGTTTCAAGGGTCCTAGCTAAGCGTGTTGACCGATTTGGTAGAGTGTGGACATTAAATGCGACCGTGAAAAGTCAATTTTGGTAGTAAAAATCGGATAGCCTCTGAATGGTTGACCTCATTAGTTGAAAGGTGAGTAATATCCCATGAATGGGGCAAACAGGATGCATCTCCTAAGGTTTGGGAATGGGAAGAGAAAGTGGACAAATGAGAAACATGGTTTTACAAATGGGTGGCTAAGACTTTGAGGCACGGCAAACTTTGCGGTAGCCCACACCGACGAAGGGGTTTTTCTTTGGGAACCCTAACCGGAACCTTTTATTCAAACGTCTGACCCACAAGGCAGTGGGTCGTGAATCCAACGCGAACGAACGTGAACGAAGCACCAGTGTGGGAGCTTCTCGAGACCTGTCGCGCAAAGCCTTTGAATTTCGGTTAAGTGTGTTGTTCGCTGATGCGCTGATTGTCGGTCTGCTTTTCGGTATCGGCCTTCAGCCTCATACAACCAATGAGACATGCGGAACGTGGACGGGACAGCAATTTATTAGCTAAGCGGGCGGTAGTTGTCCAATGAAGTGCGAAGACTTATCCAATCGTCAAGAGGAAGCCCCAGGAACCTCGTTTCTAGGTCCACCTAGCACAGTGGAAGGGGGAGTTGACCGGTAGTCTGTCCCATTCCGTGTATATGTGCTGCAGTGAACTCTTCAGGGACGATAGTGGATAGTCAATGGAAGACAGGAGGTTCGCAAGCAGCTGGCCTTGTGAGAATGAGCTTCGTCTAATCTTTACCCGTCGAGCATTCAGGCATGATTGGATCTGCTGTGAGGAGCCATCCAGTATCGTTCGCTGGGTCGCGGAGGCACGCAAGCCAACACACAACGTCAAGGTGCAGTCTTATCGTAATGGAACAGGCCAATGGCATAAAGTTGAGTCAAATAAGCGCGTAGTGCAAACTTTCCAGATGACAAACGAGATGCAATGCGAACGTAACTTAGACAAATCGCTTCATCTGTGGCTCCATGGCTCGCCCTCTAACAGAAGTAATCGCTCTACACCGCCTCCGATGGCTGGGTCACGTATTGCGTA